CCCTGAGCTTAGAATGGCCGTACTGGGTCAGACCAAAGGTCCATCTAGCCCAGTAGCCTGTCTGCCGACAGCGGCCAACACTAGGGACCTTGGAAGGGATGGACCGAAGACAATAACCAAGCCATTTGTCTCATGCCATCCATCTCCAGCCTTCCACAAACAGAGGCGAGGGACACCATTTCTATCCCCTGGCTAATACCACTCCATGGACCCAACCTCTATCACTTTATCTCACTTCTCTTTAAACTCTGTTCTAGTTTTAGCCTTCACAGCCTCCTGCAGCAAGGAGTTCCACAGGTTGACTCTTTGCTTTGTGAAGAACAACTTTCTGTTACTAGTTTGAAGCCTGCTACCCATTCCTTTCCTTTGGTGTCCTCTAGTCCTTCTATTATGGGAACTAATGTGTATGCACCCTTTCCACCCCACTCATGCTTTTATAGACCTCTATCATATCCCCCCTCCTTCTCCTCTTTTCTAAGCTGAAAAGTCCCAGTCTCTTTAGCCTCTCTTCATATGGGACCTGTTCCAAACCCCTGATCATTGTAGTTGCCCTCCCCTCTCCCACCCTCTCTCTTCCCCTCTCCCACCTCCTTTATGTTCAATAAAGAGAGATTCAATTTTTGAACACACGTTTTCTTTATTTTGTACATCAGGAAGGGGGACTAGGGAAGGGTAAGTGGAAGGAGGTGAGGGAGGAATGGGGTACGCGCCCCCGATGGGGAGGACTGGGCTGGCTCTGCGGGCTTCTCAGGGTGGAAGATCTCCTGCAGCCCCCCGATTGCCCCCTCTCCCCGGATGGCAGCCTGTGGCAAGTGCAGCCGGGCTGATGGCCGAGTGCTGTGATGTTCCGCGTGTGGGCACTCAGGGCACTCCAAGCCAGGACTGCTTTGCAAAGCGGGGAACCCTGAGAACTGTCTGTCCGGGGCAGGGATCGGGTCCCTTTAAGCACAGCCCTCTGCTAGCCTGAGACAGCAGCTCCATGCTCTAAGTCCTCATCTGATGCCTTGCCGGCACTGCTTCCGGCCATCCTTAACCTCTGTTCAGGGTCCACTCTGTGTGGACATGCTAGTTCGAATTAGCAAAACGCTAATTCGAACTAGTTTTTAAGTCTAGCTGTGCTAATTCGAATTAGCTTAGTTCGAATTAGCGCTGTAGTGTAGACATACCCTGACAGTTTTAGAAAATTGATAACGAGGGAAGAAAAAGATTATATAAACCTAGGGTTATTCTGTATGGCTTTGTCTACACATCAGCATTATTTTGGAATAACTGGCATTATTCTGAAATAACAAAAAGCATGTCTACACGATAAATATTGTCAAGGTGGAGGACTTCTTACTCTGACTCCTGTAACCCTCATTTCATGAGGAGTAAGGGTATGTTTACACTACCGTATTTTTTCAAAATAGCTTATTTTGAAATAACACATCTAGACACAAAATGCATTTCAAAATAGCATTTTGCTATTTCAAAATAACGCGTCCACACTGATAGGAGTTACCTTGTGTGGCTGCTGCCTGAGGCTGAGACCTATGCTTAAAGGGATCCCCCGGACAGCTGGGTCTAAGGTTTCCCTGCTTGCTTGCCTACCTTGCTGAGGGACAGCAAAGCATTTTTTCCCCTGTATGCTCTGGTTGCCCTCACTCAGGACACCACAGCACTTTGCAGCATGGAGCCAAAGCCGCCCCTGGGCACTCTGGTGCTTCTCCTGGGCGTATTGCTGAGAGCCTGGTAGCACGTTCTGCAGGCAGTAACAGTCTCCCTGGTCTGTCCCACTGGGGGCTTGTGCCTCATTCCTCCCTCACATCCGTCCACTTACCCCTCCTGAGCCCCCCTTCCTGCTGTACAATAAAAGTCACGTGTTCATTACAACAAAGCCTCTTTATTGAACAAAACTCAGCTGGGGGGGGGGAATGAAACTGAGGAGTGGAAAGAAGGTGGGAGAGGGGAAGAGGGAGGGTGGGAGAGGGGAGGGGGAAACCTGGGAAGAGGGAGCTGGCACGGGGAGGCAAGAGGAGGAAGGAGAAGCTCAGGGCTTAGGGTTGGGGGTCTTGCCAGACCTCGGCATCCCTAGAAGTGTGGGGAGGGTGAGGAGGAAGAAGCGGGAAGGGGAGAAGGAGTAGAAGGAGGAGCAGTAGCTGGGGAGGCAGCAAGGACTGGAGCAGCAAGCTCTGCCCCAGGGTCGATGACCACCTGTGGGGCATGGACTATCCTGCCCTTCAGGATGTGGTCCAGGGCATCCAAATAGGGACAGCTCTCTGCGGGTATGTCTAGACTACATGTCTGTCAGCAGAGGCATGTAAATTAGGCTACCAGACCTAGTCAATGAAGCGGAGATTTAAATATCCCCCGTTTCATTAAAATAAAAATGGACGCCGCACTGTGCCGGCTCAGCTGATTGTAGGCACAGTGCAGCAGTCAAGACGCAGATCAGTCGATAAGGGAAGCCTTTGTCGACTGATCCTGTAAACCTCAAGGCATAAAGGATTGGTCGACAAAGGCGTCCCTTGTCGACCGATCCACATCTTGACTGCCACGCTGTGCCAACAATCAGCTGAGCAGGCATAGCGTGGTGGCCATTTTTATTTTAATGAAGCAGGGGATATTTAAATCTCCGCCTCATTGACTATGTTGCGTAGCCTATTTTACCTGCCTCTGCCGACACAGGCATGTAGTCTAGACATAGTCTGCATCTGCCCCTGGTTGAGAGCTGCCTCTTTTGGCCCTGGCATATGCCTGCCACAGCTCCTTGATTTTCATCAGAACCTGCTCCTGGGTTTGGATGTGGCCTTTAGTGGCCAGGCTGCCAGCCATCTGCCTGTTGATGGTCGCATTCCTCCATCTACTGTGGAAATCATGGACATTGGTGGCATTCCCCCAAACCGCAATCAGGTCCATGATCTCTGCACTGGACTAGGAAGGCGCCTGCCTTCTCCAGGCCCTGGCAGACTCCTGGGAGCTGGCAGACTGCTCTGGGAGAGTGGTGGAGGGCTGGCTGGCACTGGCTGCCTGGCTCATGCTGGGGCCACGCTGGCAGGCTTGGAGCTGGCACAGGTACTGTGGCCAGAGTCTACCCCTTTAAGGGCTCTGGGAAGTGGGGGAGGGAGAGGAATTTTCTTGGTTGTGCCCAGAGTGGCCACCAGGGCACCCTGGGAAGGGCTGGAGGCCTCCTATTTCAAAATAAGCGTCTACACAGTGCTTATTTTGAAATAGCAATTTCGAAATTGGCATTATTCCTCGTGGAATGAGGTTTACCAATTCTAAAATAAACGCTCCGCTATTTCGATTTAATTTCGAAATAGCAGTTTGGCTGTGTAGGTGCTGTTATTTTGAAAGACCTTTGCTGTGTAGTCATAGCCAAAGGGAAATTGAAGGACGAGTGTTCTTCCTTCAACTTTCTGTTATGTAGACAGTGCCAAAAGCCGAATTAAGTTATTTCACCTTCAGCTATGCAATTGACATAGCTGAAATGCACAGCTTAATTCGACTTTAGCCCTGTTGTGTAGACATACCCTCAGTGACTGACTCAGAATCCAATTATGACCCATAGGATTTTGTTTTACCATTCATTCAGAACATCAGTCTTATTCTTGAATTCTACTCTTTGGATGGATAATGCACACAGTTACAAATCTTCCCTGTTGAAAGTTGAATCTAGCACATTTTGTCAAACAAATTATAGTGTATACGTATAGTAATTTACAACTCTACTAACTTATACCATATCATCTTATTTTCACAGGTGTTTATCTAAGTTCATTAAGGTAAAACCTGCAGTTATGTCTGTTTCATTTCTGTTTACATTATCAGTTGCAGAAATTATATAAATATTTGTATAACTGGGCAGTAACAGTTTTAAACATGATCAATTAAAACCAACTTACGGGTACATCTTGGAAAGGGTATCCACCCAGTCTTTGTGCATTCAGAAATATTGTTCCTATTATTTGTATCAAAGTGAAATCCTGCATTACAGGTCACACTGATTGTATCCTCTTCTCTGAAGACTCTCCTTAGAGGGTGGTAGGTTCCATTAGTCACTGTTGGAGAATCACATCTAATTTCTAAACAGAAACAGACAAACAAGTTTAAAAACTGGAAAAAGGACATTATGCTGTAAATCTCCCCTTCAGTTAAGATTATCAGGTCATGTCACCATTCTAGTGTTATTTCTAAATAACAAGGTAAGTATCTATACAACAAACACGTTATTTCAAAATAATTTCAAAATAGTGGGGTTCTCATTCCAGAATAATATTTCTAAATAGCTATTTGGGGAGTTATTTTTCTGAAATAGCTTATTTGGAAACTATGCTGCAGTGTAGACGTACCCTAACTTATTTACTAGATTTATTACAGGTTGAATTTCTCTTAACTGGGACTTTTTGGTCCAGCAACAGAGCTGCCCAGTGAGGCTGAATCCAAAGCAGGGCTGCCACCCACCAGTGCAGCTGGAGCCCAGCAAGAGGACTGCCCTGAGGGGCTTGGAACCCTACGGTGGGGCTGTGCTTGCTGTAGTGGAGCTGTCATGGTGGGGCCGACAGCCCTGAACTAAGGGGCCAGCAGCAGGAGGAAACCAGCTGGGAGACTGGCAATGGGACTATGGCAAAGAAGCACGGTGATGGCGGGGGGCCCAGAAATGACCTTCCTTGGTCCAGCAAAATCCCTCATCTGAGACAGGTCGTATCCTGAGAGTGCCGGACCAGGGAGGTCCAATCTGTAGCTATGTCATTTATGAACTTCATCTTCATAAAACTGACCCAGAGAAATTCCTATGGACTAAAAGTCTACAGCTCTTCTGCCATCTTTAGTGATGTGAATATTTGCTTGAGATAGTTTATTTTATTGCGGGTTTCAGAATGGAGCAGCTGTTGTTTTAAGCATCGTTCTGATTACTGTGGAAAAACATTATCCAGAAAATGAAGTCTCCCTGGGTATGTCTACACTACCCTCCTAATTCGAAATAGGAGGGTAATGTAGTCATACCGCAATTGCAAATGAAGCCCGGGATTTGAATTTCGTGGAATGAGGAGTACAGCTAGTTCGGATTAGGAAGCCTAATCCGAACTAGCTACTCCGTGCCGTGTGTAGCCGCGCGGCACGGGGTTCGAACTGCCGGCATTTAAATATGGTGCCGGCCGGCTTTATGCAAATGAAGCCCGTGAAATTCAAATCCCAGGCTTCATTTGCAATTGCAGTATGACTACATTACCCTCCTATTTCGAATTAGGAGGGTAGTGTAGACATACCCCCAGAGACCTAAAGCTGACTGTACTGGATCTGTCTAATCTCTTCTGCACTACATCCCCGGTGTGTTTGGCTGGATGGAATAAGAGAGCCCATGACAAACAAATCGTTTAAGTCATGTTAATATTTAAATATTTAATATTTAAAGACATAGAAAAAGAAGAAAATGCAGGTAAAGCATTTGAAATAAGGCTTTTTATTCTAAACAACATCCCTTATGTCCTACTCCTTTAGAAGTAGAGAGGTTTTATAAGAATACTCCATTTCCATTTTTAGACAGTATTAAAGATATTGGCAATTCTTCTTTATGGGGAAAAGAGAAGTTAGTTCAGATGGGTTGGAGCTGCTACTGTTAAATTTTGATCCTGCTTCAAGCCAAAATAAAACAAAAAGGGAGAGAAAGGAATAGCAAATCAAAACAATGCAGCTTTTGTCTTTGGTGCCAATTCATACTTGCAACTTCACTGCTGGAGAAACATAAATAAAGCATAGTGATAGAAATGTAGCCGTGTTAGTCTGGGGTAGTTGAAGCAAAATGCAGGACAATGCAGCACTTTAAAGACTAACAAGATGGTTTATTAGATGATGAGCTTTCGTGGGCCAGACCCACTTCCTCAGATCAAATAGTGGAAGAAAGTAGTCACAACCATATATACCAAAGGATACAATTAAAAAAAATGAACAAATATGAAAAGGACAAATCACATTGCAGAACAGAAGGGGGATGCGGGGGGGTGGGAAGGGGGAGGAAGGAAGGTAAGTGTCTGTGAATTGCTGATATTAAAGGTAGGGAGAGTGGGATGTTTGTGAGTTAATGGTATTACAGGTGATAATTGGGGAAACTGTCTTGATAATGGGTGAGAAAGTTCAAAGACTTGTTAAGTCCCTGGTGGTAAGTGTCGAATTTTAACATGAATGACAGTTCAGAGGATTCCCTTTCAAGTGCAGATGTAAAAGGTCTTTGTAGCAGAATGCAGGTGGCTAAGTCATTTAGAGAGTGTCCTTTCTGGTTAAAGTGGCAAGAAACTGTTTTCTCTTTGTGATCTTGTAAATAAATAAATAAAGCAAATCCCCGTATCAGGCATTTATAAGCCTGTAATGATGCAGCGTGGCCTCCTGATGACCCAGAAGAGGAAGTTTCCCTAAATAGCCCTTGGTGAGCTCTGCCAGAGCACCCCAGCCCAGCCCACAGGAAGCAGAAAGGCGGGACTGGAAGTATAAGAAGGGGAGCTCCAAGCTCAGCTGAAGCCCAGCAGCCAAACAGCGAGGAGGCTTGGCCAAAGCTCCAGAGGTAAAGGAGAACCTTACCTTGCCACCCTCAGCAGGATGACTGGGTTGGGACTTTGTACACTTTTTATAAATAAACAGGATGGCATCAGAGCTATGAAACTCTATTAATCAAATCCTCCTCACAGCCATTTGGGTTAAAAGGATGAAGGAAACTTCAGCTTCTTACAGGTACTCTCCTATCATAACCCAAGTCCCTGCCAGCTATTTAAATAGGTCCCTGCTAGACAGAGAACAGGAAAACTTAAGTCCCCTGGGAACTTCTTAACCATGATCAGCTGCAACCAAGACAAAGGAACTAAAACTTTCAGATTCAGAGGAATATCACAGGGACAGTCAACAACCTGGATAAGAAATTGCACTAGTGAGAGGATTTGAGTAAGACCTGCTATCATGACACATTTTTGCCACATTTATATCCCACATGAATGAGAAACTGATTGTCCTAAGCTAAGTAACACTCTGCTCACTTTGTTTATGAACTGTGTCATTTTCTTCTTGTCTATTGAGATCTCAGGTTGGCTGGTACAGGAACCATGATTTCCCACATGTTTCTATGGAAGCCCTACCCACAGAGCCACTCTGCCAGGCATACTCTGGGTATTTTTTTAAATCCTAGACTTCCTCAGTAAAATCTAACAACTGTTTTAGTCAGATACCCCTACATTGTAGTATTCCTTCTAAACATTGTACTCTAAATACAGATGACTTTGAGATCCATTAATGAGTATTCTTTAACATGTTTATCTGTTCTCCAACATGTTTTTGTGTGGTTTTTGGATGCACATCCACTAATGTGATCTATGCCATCAAAGGCCAGCAATTCCCCTCTGCTATGTATATTGGCCAAACTGGACAGTCTCTAAGAGTGAAGGAATTAATGGACACAAATAAGATATCCAAAAAGGCAACACACAAAAACCTGTTGGAGACCACTTTAACCTACACTCATTAATGGAGATCAAGTCACTGTGTTGTTTCAGTCCAACTCCACAAGCCAAACACAAAGGGAAGCATTGGAACTTAACTTCATTTCCAGGTTTGGGACCCATCACAAAGGTATTAATAAAGACATTACCTGACTAGCACTGTACCTTCCACATCCTAATGACTTAACCAATTAAACAATGGGTACGTAAGAACAATTTGCACCTTCTCTATCATCTTCTTGTAAATTGAACACTCTAATTCACTATTTTGTCACCATCCTTCCTCCTCCACTCCCTATTTATTTTTGGAACTAGACTTTTAATACTCCAAAAACTGGACTATGTAGCACTTTAAAGACTAAAAATATGGTTTATTAGGTGATGAGTTTTTGTGGGCCAGACCTACTTCCTCAGATCAAATTGTGGAAGAAAATTGGCATGACCACATATACCAAAGGGATACAATCAAAAAAGTGAACACATATAAAAAGGACAAATTAAATTTCAGAACAGAGGGGTGATGGCTGGGGGAGGGAGGTTAATGTCTGTGAGCTAATGATATTTGAGGTGATAATTGGGGAAACTATTTTTGTAATGGGTAAGATAATTAGCATCTTTGTTGAGACCCAGGCGTAGTGTCAAATTTAAGCATGAATGACAGTTCAGAGGATTCTCTTTCAAGTCTGGTGTTCGATGTCTTTGAAGCAGGATGCAGGTAATCAAGTCATTGAGACATTGCCCTTTCTAGTTGAAATGGCAAGAAACTGTTTTTTCTTTGTGATACTGTCTGATATCTGTTTTGTGGGCATTGATCCTTTGGCGAAGTGTCTAATGTACATAGCAGGTGGACACTGTCGGCACATGATGGCATAAATTATATTTCTGGATGAGCAG